ATTGTGTCTCAGAATTTCTCGCACCGTGTTCGTATATAGTTATCTTCAAATTAGGATATGTACTCTATACCTACTCTTTTTGTTGACTGGCATAGAACACCATGTTTGTATACATTATTACCATAGAAATTTGTGCTCCATTTCTTGTATATGGAACAAATATGTTTTCACTTGTATATATATTTTTGAGTAATCTTACAGTGCAATCCTTGATTTATATACTTGTATATTTTTTCTCTAAGGCCTATGAATTTTTAGCTTTGAATTTTATCTTGGAAGTCCTTAAGAGCATCTCCAACCGAACGCTTTCCCCTCAAATTGACGCAAAAAATAACCCTGTTCATCCTCCAACCGAACGGCATCCCCAGCATCATTTTGGGCGAGAGCTACAGTGCTGCGCCAGATTTGGCGCAGCACTATAGCTTTGGCGCAGTGGCTTTTTTTTTAAACCTTTTTTTTAGGCATAGAGTTTATTATTTTGTTGGTTTTTAATGTTTCTCTTTTTATTCATGATCAAAATATTTCATTGTAGCTTTTATTTTTTTAATTATTTTGATATGAACTATTATAATAAAATTAGATTATAAAATAATTATTAAAATAAAATTCAACAATGGAAAAAATAGATAGTTTAATCCAAACACTTAAAATTTCATAATACTAGAACCAAATAGAATTTTATTATTCTAGATACTAGATAGGAATATTCTTTTTGGTGTAACATTTGGTGTAATGGGTTGGAGATGGAATAGTAATTTGGTGTAAAAACTACACTAACTTGGTGTAAAAACTACATCATTTTGAGTTTTATGATTGAAGATGCTCTAAAGCTAAAGGTTTTGGTGAGCGGTGGATCAATTGGAGATCTGTGTGTTTGAAAGGGGATGTCAATTGTGGTTTTAATAAATGGAAAAGTTGGTCATTGGATTATGTCTAAAAGAAGAGTTCGTCAAGGTGAATCTATCACCTCTCCTTTTTTTGTTTCAGCTGTTGATGCCTTTAAAATATATATATATATATATATTGTCTCTTGCTATAGAAGTCACTTTACTTGAGGGGCCTTGGGCCTGACACCATGTCTCAAAAGATTACCATGTCTCAAAAGTTTATTTGTTTGCAGTGTGCTGAAGATATCTTAATCTTCTGTAAAAATAAAAAAGAGCATTTGCCAATTTTTGAATCTGATCTTATATGGCTTTGCATTAGCCTCTGATCTTTAAATTAGCTTTAATAAGAGTACGCTTAATGCTTTGGAAGATGATGTACCTCTTCAATATGGCTAATTAGATGAACTATAATTATGGTCAATTTCCCATAACATATTTAGGTGTTCCTATTAGACCAGGCAAACTTCTAAGAGATGATTGGTTTCCTCTTTTTGAAAAGTTTCAAAGAAGATCAGCCTAGTGGAAAGGTAGATATCTATCTAAAGGGGGAGATTCATTTTAGTTAGTTCAGTTTTATCTTCTATGCCTATTTTTTGGATGGTTCCTCTCTTTCTACACTAACTACGTTTGTGACAAATTAGATTCTCTATCCTAAGTGGGTTTGTGATAAATTAGATAGAATGAGGAGGAGATTCTTTTGGGTTGGAACTATGAAGCATAAGGTTGTTTCTAATTTTTTGAATTAGTGGTGGTTCTTTTTTTTCTTTTCTTTTTTTTTTTTGGGGGGGGGGGGGGCGGGGGTTGGGGGCTAAATTTAAGTGGTAGTCATATCGGGAGGGATAATTTAAAATTATTGATAATAGTTAGTAGTGGGTTGTTGATAATAGTGTTAGTAGTGGGTTTAGTCCCACATTGGTTGTGAGGACACACCTCACCCTTCTCTACTTGTATAAATATATGTGCACACTCTATATTCAACAAAAAGGAAAATTTACCCAAGACTCTCTCTCTCTCTCTCTCTCTCTCTCTCTCTCTCTTACTTTAACATGGTAAGTAATCTAGTGGTAGTTTGGGAGCTAGGACTATTATTTCCATTCTAATAAAATTTTTAACGCTTCTGTGTTCTTTTGCCAAATCTTGGTCTTATTGCTTTACAGTCATTTATCGATTTTTTACGTTCCTCTGCCAGATTTTTGGCATTGCCGCTTTGCGGCCTCTTAACGCATTTCACGTTCTCGTTTAACCTTCGGGTACCATTTAAAATGAGTATTTCTGTATCCACTTCCTTATTTGATTTAGTACATTCTGATATTTGGGGGTCAACTCCTCTGTCTTCTTCATCTGGCTACTTATATTATGTTAGTTTTATCGACGATTTCTCTCGTTTTATATAGGTTTACCTACTTAAGAATCACTCTGACATACTTACTTCTTATCAGGCATTCACTGCTATGATCTTCACTCAATGGCAATCTCGTATTAAAGTTTTCCGTTCTGACTGTGCCAAAGAGTACATATCCTCTACCGTGTGCTCTATCATGTCCTCTCATGGGACTTCCTTTCAACAGTCATGTCCCTATAGTCATGAGCAAAATGGTATTGTTGAATGCAAACATCATCATATCCTTGATACCGCTTGATCCATGCTCATTTCTTACTTTGTTCCTCGTCGTTTCTGGGCTGAGGTCATTCTCACTGCTACTCATATCATTAATATCACTCTATCTAGCTCTCTTTCCGGCATTACTCCTTATAGTCGTGTTTATACTCATCCTGCCCGTTATGATCTGGTTTACGTTTTTTGTTGTCACTGTTTTGTTCTCTATCATCTCACCAAAGTGATAACTTGTCTCCCAAAGTTGTTTCTTGTGTCTATTTAAGAATTAGTTCAGAACATCGAGGTTATCGTTGTTATGATCCTGTAACTCGTCGAGTTCATATATCTCATCACGTTCAGTTCGAAGAGGATTCTCCATATTATTCTGCTTCTGATGACTTTAATTCTTTCACTCTATTGACCATGCTTCCCCGTCAGCTGCATCACTCACTTCTTCACATCAGTTTTCCTTTCGAGACCTCCATAACATCTCTTCATCTCCTTCTGTTGACTATTCCTCACCAGAGCCTTCTCTTACCCCATCTGATCCCTATCCCGTGGACACAACTCTCACTACAGAAAATACTGTTGATCTCCACGCACCTACGCCAGCATCTATCCCGCCCGAGGTTCCTCTTTCTCTTCGTCGAGGCAAACACCCACATATCATGCCTTCCCGGTATGTTTCGGTTATTTCCTATTCACCTATCTTTCATAAATTTGTTGTTGTCATTCATACTACCATTGAGCCAAAGTCTTTTCATGAGGCAGTTCAATTTTTAGAGTGACGACAGACTATGGCTAAG